ATCAATTCACCCATTTGCGCTAGTCCTATTGGAATTTCTCTTGTGCCAATGTGTTTCTCAGGCCGTGACTATCCTCTGGACAAAGAATGATCGTGCCCGTATGACGCCGTTTAAGCCCAGTTTCGATCAATTCACCTATTTGCGCTAGTCCTATTGGAATTTCTCTTGTGCCAATGTGTTTCTCAGGCCGTGACTATCCTCTGGACAAAGAATGATCGTGCCCGTAGGACGCCGTTGAAGCCCAATTTCGATCAATTCACCTATTTGCGCTAGTCCTATTGGAATTTCTCTTGTGCCAATGTGTTTCTCAGGCCGTGACTATCCTCTGGACAAAGGATGATCGTGCCCGTAGGACGCCGTTTAAGCCCAGTTTCGATCAATTCACCTATTTGCGCTAGTCCTATTGAAATTTCTCTTGTGCCAATGTGTTTCTCAGGCCGTGACTATCCTCTGGACAAAGAATGATCGTGCCCGTAGGACGCCGTTTAAGCCTGGTTTCGATCAATTCACCTATTTGCGCTAGTCCTATTGGAATTTCTCTTGTGCCAATGTGTTTCTCAGGCCGTGACTATCCTCTGGACAAAGAATGATCGTGCCCGTAGGACGCCGTTTAAGCCCAGTTTCGATCAATTCACCTATTTGCGCTAGTCCTATTGGAATTTCTCTTGCGCCAATGTGTTTCTCAGGCCGTGACTATCCTCTGGACAAAGAATGATCGTGCCCGTAGGACGCCGTTTAAGCCCAGTTTCGATCAATTCACCTATTTGCGCTAGTCCTATTGGAATTTCTCTTGTGCCAATGTGTTTCTCAGGCCGTGACTATCCTCTGGACAAAGAATGATCGTGCCCGTAGGCCGCCGTTTAAGCCCAGTTTCGATCAATTCACCTATTTGCGCTAGTCCTATTGGAATTTCTCTTGTGCCAATGTGTTTCTCAGGCCGTGACTATCCTCTGGACAAAGAATGATCGTGCCCGTAGGACGCGGTTTAAGCCCAGTTTCGATCAATTCACCTATTTGCGCTAGTCCTATTGGAATTTCTCTTGTGCCAATGTGTTTCTCAGGCCGTGACTATCCTCTGGACAAAGAATGATCGTGCCCGTAGGACGCCGTTTAAGCCCAGTTTCGATCAATTCACCTATTTGCGCTAGTCCTATTGGAATTTCTCTTGTGCCAATGTGTTTCTCAGGCCGTGACTATCCTCTGGACAGAGAATGATCGTGCCCGTAGGACGCCGTTTAAGCCCAGTTTCGATCAATTCACCTATTTGCGCTAGTCCTATTGGAATTTCTCTTGTGCCAATGTGTTTCTCAGGCCGTGACTATCCTCTGGACAAAGAATGATCGTGCCCGTAGGACGCCGTTTAAGCCCAGTTTCGATCAATTCACCTATTTGCGCTAGTCCTATTGGAATTTCTCTTGTGCCAATGTGTTTCTCAGGCCGCGACTATCCTCTGGACAAAGAATGATCGTGCCCGTAGGACGCCGTTTAAGCCCAGTTTCGATCAATTCACCTATTTGCGCTAGTCCTATTGGAATTTCTCTTGTGCCAATGTGTTTCTCAGGCCGTGACTATCCTCTGGACAAAGAATGATCGTGCCCGTAGGGCGCCGTTTAAGCCCAGTTTCGATCAATTCACCTATTTGCGCTAGTCCTATTGGAATTTCTCTTGTGCCAATGTGTTTCTCAGGCCGTGACTATCCTCTGGACAAAGAATGATCGTGCCCGTAGGACGCCGTTTAAGCCCAGTTTCGATCAATTCACCTATTTGGGCTAGTCCTGTTGGAATTTCTCTTGTGCCAATGTGTTTCTCAGGCCGTGACTATCCTCTGGACAAAGAATGATCGTGCCCGTAGGCCGCCGTTTAAGCCCAGTTTCGATCAATTCACCTATTTGCGCTAGTCCTATTGGAATTTCTCTTGTGCCAATGTGTTTCTCAGGCCGTGACTATCCTCTGGACAAAGAATGATCGTGCCCGTAGGACGCCGTTTAAGCCCAGTTTCGATCAATTCACCTATTTGCGCTAGTCCCATTGGAATTTCTCTTGTGCCAATGTGTTTCTCAGGCCGTGACTATCCTCTGGACAAAGAATGATCGTGCCCGTAGGCCGCCGTTTAAGCCCAGTTTCGATCAATTCACCTATTTGCGCTAGTCCTATTGGAATTTCTCTTGTGCCAATGTGTTTCTCAGGCCGTGACTATCCTCTGGACAAAGAATGATCGTGCCCGTAGGACGCCGTTTAAGCCCAGTTTCGATCAATTCACCTATTTGCGCTAGTCCTATTGGAATTTCTCTTGTGCCAATGTGTTTCTCAGGCCGTGACTATCCTCTGGACAAAGAATGATCGTGCCCGTAGGACGCCGTTTAAGCCCAGTTTCGATCAATTCACCTATTTGCGGTAGTCCTATTGGAATTTCTCTTGTGCCAATGTGTTTCTCAGGCCGTGACTATCCTCTGGACAAAGAATGATCGTGCCCGTAGGCCGCCGTTTAAGCCCAGTTTCGATCAATTCACCTATTTGCGCTAGTCCTATTGGAATTTCTCTTGTGCCAATGTGTTTCTCAGGCCGTGACTATCCTCTGGACAAAGAATGATCGTGCCCGTAGGACGCCGTTTAAGCCCAGTTTCGATCAATTCACCTATTTGCGCTAGTCCTATTGGAATTTCTCTTGTGCCAATGTGTTTCTCAGGCCGTGACTATCCTCTGGACAAAGAATGATCGTGCCCGTAGGACGCCGTTTAAGCCCAGTTTCGATCAATTCACCTATTTGCGCTAGTCCTATTGGAATTTCTCTTGTGCCAATGTGTTTCTCAGGCCGTGACTATTCTATGGACAAAGAATCAGTGTGCCCGTAGGACGCCGTTTAAGCCCAGTTTCGATCAATTCACCTATTTGCGCTAGTCCTATTGGAATTTCTCTTGTGCCAATGTGTTTCTCAGGCCGTGACTATCCTCTGGACAAAGAATGATCGTGCCCGTAGGACGCCGTTTAAGCCCAGTTTCGATCAATTCACCTGTTTGCGCTAGTCCTATTGGAATTTCTCTTGTGCCAATGTGTTTCTCAGGCCGTGACTATCCTCTGGACAAAGAATCATTGTGCCCGTAGAACGCCGTTTAAGCCCAGTTTCGATCAATTCACCTATTTGCGCTAGTCCTATTGGAATTTCTCTTGTGCCAATGTGTTTCTCAGGCCGCGACTATCCTCTGGACAAAGAATGATCGTGCCCGTAGGACGCCGTTTAAGCCCAGTTTCGATCAATTCACCTATTTGCGCTAGTCCTATTGGAATTTCTCTTGTGCCAATGTGTTTCTCAGGCCGTGACTATCCTCTGGACAAAGAATCATTGTGCCCGTATGACGCCGTTTAAGCCCAGTTTCGATCAATTCACCTATTTGCGCTAGTACTATTGGAATTTCTCTTGTGCCAATGTGTTTCTCAGGCCGTGACTATCCTCTGGACAAAGAATGATCGTGCCCGTAGGACGCCGTTTAAGCCCAGTTTCGATCAATTCACCTATTTGCGCTAGTCCTATTGGAATTTCTCTTGTGCCAATGTGTTTCTCAGGCCGTGACTATCCTCTGGACAAAGAATGATCGTGCCCGTAGGACGCCGTTTAAGCCCAGTTTCGATCAATTCACCTATTTGCGCTAGTCCTATTGGAATTTCTCTTGTGCCAATGTGTTTCTCAGGCCGTGACTATCCTCTGGACAAAGAATGATCATGCCCGTAGGCCGCCGTTTAAGCCCAGTTTCGATCAATTCACCTATTTGCGCTAGTCCTATTGGAATTTCTCTTGTGCCAATGTGTTTCTCAGGCCGTGACTATCCTCTGGACAAAGAATGATCGTGCCCGTAGGACGCCGTTTAAGCCCAGTTTCGATCAATTCACCTATTTGCGCTAGTCCTATTGGAATTTCTCTTGTGCCAATGTGTTTCTCAGGCCGTGACTATCTTCTGGACAAAGAATGATCGTGCCCGTAGGACGCCGTTTAAGCCCAGTTTCGATCAATTCACCTATTTGCGCTAGTCCTATTGGAATTTCTCTTGTGCCAATGTGTTTCTCAGGCCGTGACTATCCTCTGGACAAAGAATGATCGTGCCCGTAGGACGCCGTTTAAGCCCAGTTTCGATCAATTCACCTATTTGCGCTAGTCCTATTGGAAATTTCTCTTGTGCCAATGTGTTTCTCAGGCCGTGACTATCCTCTGGACAAAGAATGATCGTGCCCGTAGGACGCCGTTTAAGCCCAGTTTCGATCAATTCACCTATTTGCGCTAGTCCTATTGGAATTTCTTTTGTGCCAATGTGTTTCTCAGGCCGTGACTATCCTCTGGACAAAGAATGATCGTGCCCGTAGGACGCCGTTTAAGCCCAGTTTCGATCAATTCACCTTTTTGCGCTAGTCCTATTGGATATTCTCTTGTGCCAATGTGTTTCTCAGGCCGTGACTATCCTCTGGACAAAGAATCATTGTGCCCGTAGGACGCTGTAAAGTCCAGCCACCGGAACGTTCGAGCGACGCGTAGCAACCAATTTCGACACAATTCAAAACAAAGTCGATTCCAAATAGCTACGGTACTATATACAACAAATTAATTAATTTTACAATAATCAAACCTCAATAGTGTTCCTTCTGGGCTCTTTCGCTCCAAATTGGAAAACAAATCAACAACTGCAGCTGGGTTACAGCCAAAGGTTAGATACAGAAGATAAGATTACCAAATACAGTCACAACGAAGTTCAAACTGAGCGACTCTCGCTCGAGGCAACGGTAGGAGTCCGGTTTGTAACAAAGGCTTAGAGAAATAAAACAAACAATCGGAATTCCAGCAAATATAGTTCATACGAATGATTAATGTCGTTTGTAACATGGATGCTAATGCATGGAATGGGGTTTCCTGAACTCCTTTACACCGGCCCCCAAAATCCGACCCGGATTTTTTCCCGTGCACCGCTAGGTGTGGTCGGCCTCATGCATCGGCTCGCCCTACGGTTCCCCAATACCTAAAACTGGTCACCGTCAATAGCAGCTCCCAGTCGGACAAGTGGATCAACTCTCAGTGGTCCCTCCCGGTTCGGCAGATCCGAAGACCCGCCTCCCACTTGAGGAAAGTTGGCCTCTGAACTTACACCACCAGTGTCCGGTTCGCCCTCAATAAGACAAATCTTTCTAATGTCACGGAGCACTAATCCTTCATTAGTTCGCACTGTTGCCGTTCGTACCAAGCCATCGTCCGAAACTGAGATGTTTTCGATTACTCCTATCGGCCACCGGCCACGCGGCAAAACCTCCGAAACTAGGAGCACTACATCACCCGATCTAAAATTGCGTTCTCGAGTTATCCACTTCTGCCGCTGTTGTAATAGTGGAAGATATTCCCTGATCCATCTCTTCCAAAACACAGACGCTAGGTAGTTTGCCTGCCTCCACTGACGAACCATTCTATCGCGCAACGAATCCGTCGGAATATCTCGTGGGTTCGCCCTCAGGATAAGCAGGTCATTGGGCGTGAGTACTGGCAGATCACGACAGTCCGAGGTCAAAGGCACTAGCGGTCGTCCGTTTACTATCCGCTCACTTTCCGTGAGGAATGTCAACAGTATTTCGTCAGTCATCGGCTGCTCGTCACAAACTGAAAGAAGTACTCTTCTAACCGAGCGCACCATGATCTCCCATATGCCACCACGGTGACTAGCATGTGGAGGATTGAAGTGCCACTGCACGCCCCGTTGCAACAATCTATCGGCAATCTTATCACTAGACCAGTTTTCCATTAGGTTCTTCAATTCCCTTTGAGCCCCAACAAAGTTTGTACCGTTATCACTAAAAATCTCGGACGGTGCTCCTCTCCTCGACATGAAACGCAGTAATGTCATGATGAATGAATCCGTGCTTAGAGAATAAGAAACTTCAATATGTACCGCACGCATCTGGAGACAGGTGAAGATGCATCCATATCGTTTCTCCATGCTGCGCCCATGTTTAACCGCAAATGGGCCGAAGTAATCTATTCCGACGTACTTGAACGGAAACCAACCTTGTTGGACTCTAATGGCTGGTAGAGGAGCCATCATCTGTTTGCCCACAACCGCCAAATGCTTCCGGCATTTCCAACATCCTCCAAGTACTCGCTTGACGGCAGCCCCCCCCTGTACAATCCAAAATTTTTTGCGAAGTTCCGCGAGTAACTGAGAAGGTCCTGCGTGTCCTTCCATCGCGTGGTACCATCGGATTATCGAGTCTGTAATCGGGTGAGTCTTGGGTAGTATCACCGGATGTTTCACACCCCGAAGCTGACTGGAGTAGTTCAGTCGTCCTCCAACACAAATAATTCCATTTAATAAAATTGGATCGAGTTTTAATAGAGTCCTGTTCATCGGAGATTTGTTAGTGCATAGGTTATTGCTCCTGTCTCGTAGCCATTTTAACTCTTCGCCATAGACCTTAGCTTGTACAATCATAATAACACTTTCCTCCGCTTTAGCAATGTCGTGTAACTTCAACGGCCCAGTTGTCAATCCTAGATCCGTGCGCCCGCCTCTCATGACTGCAACGTACATTTTAAAACGGGTTAACCACGCTACCGACTTCAGCAAGTGAAACCAACTGGAGTGCCTAGCTAGAAGTGCGTCCGACCATGTATCCCGCAACACTGTGAGAACTGTACTCGAAAGCTGCTTCAACTCAACGTTTGGTGGTGCTGCATCAACCGTAGGCCAGGTCGGCCATGAGGTTTCATCGCCCATCAGGAATTTAGGACCTTCGAACCAGCAGCTGATATCACTCGGTGATGTTGTGCCTCTTGATGCCAAGTCTGCGGGGTTAGCCTCCGATCTGACATGCCGCCACTGCCAGGGTTCCGACCACTGATGGATTTCAGCCAAACGGTTCGCAACGTACGTACTAAATCTCGTTTTAGTGTTGTTTATGTAATGCAAAACTATAGCAGAGTCCGTCCAGTAGTAGGCCTTACCAAACTTGATTCCAGTTTCTTCCATGAGCATCCGAGAAACTCTAACGGCCAGTCTTGCTGCGGCTAACTCCAAGCGCGGGATCGTTATGGTCTTCAGAGGAGCTACCCTTGACTTAGAGAACAATAGGGCACAGTAGGGGGCTATGTCCCTTGAAACCATTCTGGAATACGCCACCACCCCATAGCCAACTTCAGAAGCGTCACAAAATACATGAAGCTGCACACCTTCGTTCAGCGAGTTACCTCTAATAATGGGACGCTGAATTTTGAATGCGCAAAGTTGTTCCATACTTCTTAACCACTCATTCCAGCATCGTAGGGGTCCTTCTCCAATTGGATCGTCCCAACCAAGCTTCAAGCGACACAGTGATTGCAATAACACCTTGCCTGGCAGAATGAAAGGTGAAACCAACCCTAGCGGGTCGAACACGGATGATACTATAGACAACAAGCCACGCCTTGTTTGAGGTTTTTCGCGTATTGAGAATGAAAACTGGAACGTGTCTTCTATTGCGTTCCATTCTAACCCCAACGTCCTCTCCGGCACAGGCGCGCAATCATCTATTTCCAAAGTGGGATGGGCGAGCTCAGATTTTGGTAAAATATCCAGCACCTCCTTACGATTACACACCCACTTATGAAGCCGGAATCCGCCTCGTGATAGTAACTCACTCATCTGGATAGCGAAAACTCTCGCATTCTCCGGTGTGGGCAAAGAAACAAGACAGTCGTCTACATAGAAGTTGTTATACACGGCCGTGGAGACGTAATCCTCATACTGTCCTCCCCAATCGTTTGCCGTGCGACGTAACGCGAAATTTGCACAAAATGGGGAGGAAGTGGCACCAAAAGGGTGGGCATTCATCTGATATTCAACAGGATTACCACCTAGTCGACCATTTTCCCACCACAGGAACCTCAGTGCTCCTTTGTCTCTCGTTGGCACTCGAACCTGCATGAACATTTCTTCAATATCCGCAGCCAACGCGACAGATTCCTTTCGGAAACGAAGCAACACTCCAACTAAGCTTGCTGTCGTATCCGGTCCCTGTAGCAAGTAATCATTCAAGGAGCGTCCCTGGAATGCAGCCGCGCAGTCAAACACCACCCTCAACTTGCTAGGCTTTTTAGGGTTTGTAACTGCGTGATGTGGTAAGTACCACTTTGGCTCAAAACCCATTTTTAGCTGTACATCGGGAACTAACTGGGCGTGGCCCTTGCGCACATAACCCTCTATTATTGTAGAGTATTTTTCAAAGAATTCAGGGTCACGCGCAAACCTTTTCCTCAGGCCGTTCAATCTCTCTTTGGCCACAATATAGTTATTTGGAAGTCTCACTTCGGGATTCCTCCACGGGAGTGCAACTTCATAGTGTCCGTTCAACCAGGTTATGGCATTGGAAACCATATCGACGGCCTGTTTGTCCTCTAATGAAGGAGAGTTTTCTGACGCACACCCATCGCAGAATTCGGCGTTGTATAGTCGATCGATCTGTTCTGCTAAGGGATCGATTCCCCTCTCAATGTAGTTTACTGTTCTCGCAAAGTGTGGTTCCTGGTTTATCGGACCAAGAACAATCCATCCTAAAATCGTCCGCACAGCATAGGGCTGTTTTCTTTTGCCGCATCTTTGCTCTAATGCCCAATGTGCTTCTGGGACGTCGGCACCTATCAGGATTCGCACTCTCGAATCTTCCAGATTCCGTCTTTGGACGCAATGTAGGTGAGGCCAGGATAAAATGTCCGCATCTGTGCAGTACTGCACTGCTTGGATTGGTAACCTATCAACACAAAATGCTCTCTCTACATTCACGAAATCATTCTCTGACAATGAGTTCAGTCGCAGCTCCGTTATTCCCGAATTCCAAGTGGTAGTCCCATTTACGGTCGAAATCGAAAGTGAGGTCGGGGATGCCTTCAGGCCCACCAGCTCCATAATGTCCTTTTGTATTAGAGTCACATCAGACCCGCTGTCCAGCAGAGCGTAGGTCTCCACGGAGCCCCCCGGTCCGTCTACTCGCACTGGTAGCACACCTAAACTGACCCGACATTCTGGCCTAAGAGTAGCCGCACAATTATTGGTCCACTGCCCATGCCCTTTCGCACTGTCCGTACCCAGCTTATCCAGCTGCGGCCCTTGTGTTGTATCTTGCGTGACTTGATCGGCACCTTGCTTCTGTGCAACATGCAGTAGAGGGTGGTGCCGTTTCAAACAACCTGATGTTGAACATGGTTTTGAAACAGAACAGTTGCTGGACAGATGTCCACATTTGAGACACGAAAAACAAGCCTTGATTTCTTTGATCAATGCCCAACGACCGGGTATATCACGAGACAGGAATCGCTGACATTCCTCAAGTGTGTGTATTCCATTACATACCGAGCACCTGTTAGCTGCGACCAACAAAGTACTACCCTGATTTGGCGTGAACCGTGTCGCTTCTGGACGCGGGTTTTGTGCATAATTCCTCCAACTGGATGACCGCGAATACCCCTGAGCCTTGCTATTGGCGGCAAGTTTGCCAAACCTACTTCGAGCAATCCGTGCCTCACGGGACACTAGGTGCTGCAGATCTTGGAACCTCGGTTCGACTCCTCTTCCCAAAATATCATCAACGGTCCTAGCCCACAAATCCTGGAGACGCGTTGGTAGCACTCGAGTGATACGTTCCATAGTCTGCAATGAGTTGAGGTCTGACATGCAATTCATCTGCGTGAGGGCAACTTCGCAGTTCAGCATTTTTAACGACAATTTGGTCAGGGCATCCGAATCTTCTGCCAGAGGCTTTAAACCTTGCAGCAAGCCGTCAATCAGTGAACGAGCCACTACATGATCTTGTCCATACAGATCCTTTAGGATTTCCCTAGCCCTATTGTATGCCAGTGTTGGAGGCAACATAACACATTCGGCAATCGCATCCCTTGCTTGTCCCTTGCAGTAATGCATCAAATAAAGTAAGCGCTGTCCATCGTCTCGAACTCTACCTTCGACGTAATATTCGAACTGTTTCACAAACCTCCAGTACGTTGACGAGCAGCCCGCGAATGACTCCAGTTCCACCCTAGGCAAGTCCAAACGATAATCCGCTGCAGGTTTCACCATTGGAACCAAGCTTGTTTTTTGTGGTGCGTCGTTCTGCACGTGGCAATCACCTAAGTAACGAGAAAGATGTTCACTGACCATTACTCCACCCTTGACTTCATCTCCGTTGACTAGATTTTCTTCTTCCTCAGCGAGTGCCAAACGCAGTTTCGCCATTTCCGTCTCATTCCTCACCTGGAGCAGCTTACGTTGCTTATCTAACTCTAACTGTTCTACAACCTGCTTCTCCTTCAACTCGGCTAACAACAGATCAGCTCTAGCTCTATGGGAAACCGAGCTAACCCTAGAACAACCTGATATACTAGAGCCTGAGCAAGAAACATGACCAACACCTACGGGCAAAAGGGTTTGGTTCACCTGCGGGGTATTGTCCTTTGATTCGGAACGGTTTGCCGATTTGCTGCGTAATTTCATGTCTCAGCAATTGCCAAGGATATTGAGTACTGTAAAGTCCAGCCACCGGAACGTTCGAGCGACGCGTAGCAACCAATTTCGACACAATTCAAAACAAAGTCGATTCCAAATAGCTACGGTACTATATACAACAAATTAATTAATTTTACAATAATCAAACCTCAATAGTGTTCCTTCTGGGCTCTTTCGCTCCAAATTGGAAAACAAATCAACAACTGCAGCTGGGTTACAGCCAAAGGTTAGATACAGAAGATAAGATTACCAAATACAGTCACAACGAAGTTCAAACTGAGCGACTCTCGCTCGAGGCAACGGTAGGAGTCCGGTTTGTAACAAAGGCTTAGAGAAATAAAACAAACAATCGGAATTCCAGCAAATATAGTTCATACGAATGATTAATGTCGTTTGTAACATGGATGCTAATGCATGGAATGGGGTTTCCTGAACTCCTTTACAGACGCCGTTTAAGCCCAGTTTCGATCAATTCACCTATTTGGGCTAGTCCTGTTGGAATTTCTCTTGTGCCAATGTGTTTCTCAGGCCGTGACTATCCTCTGGACAAAGAATGATCGTGCCCGTAGGACGCCGTTTAAGCCCAGTTTCGATCAATTCACCTATTTGCGCTAGTCCCATTGGAATTTCTCTTGTGCCAATGTGTTTCTCAGGCCGTGACTATCCTCTGGACAAAGAATGATCGTGCCCGTAGGACGCCGTTTAAGCCCAGTTTCGATCACTTCACCTATTTGCGCTAGTCCTATTGGAATTTCTCTTGTGCCAATGTGTTTCTCAGGCCGTGACTATCCTCTGGACAAAGAATGATCGTGCCCGTAGGACGCCGTTTAAGCCCAGTTTCGATCAATTCACCCATTTGCGCTAGTCCTATTGGAATTTCTCTTGTGCCAATGTGTTTCTCAGGCCGTGACTATCCTCTGGACAAAGAATGATCGTGCCCGTAGGACGCCGTTTAAGCCCAGTTTCGATCAATTCACCTATTTGCGCTAGTCCTATTGGAATTTCTCTTGTGCCAATGTGTTTCTCAGGCCGTGACTATCCTCTGGACAAAGAATGATCGTGCCCGTAGGACGCCGTTTAAGCCCAGTTTCGATCAATTCACCTATTTGCGCTAGTCCTATTGGAATTTCTCTTGTGCCAATGTGTTTCTCAGGCCGTGACTTTCCTCTGGACAAAGAATGATCGTGCCCGTAGGACGCCGTTTAAGCCCAGTTTCGATCAATTCACCTATTTGCGCTAGTCCTATTGGAATTTCTCTTGTGCCAATGTGTTTCTCAGGCCGTGACTATCCTCTGGACAAAGAATGATCGTGCCCGTAGGACGCCGTTTAAGCCCAGTTTCGATCAATTCACCTATTTGCGCTAGTCCTATTGGAATTTCTCTTGTGCCAATGTGTTTCTCAGGCCGTGACTATCCTCTGGACAAAGAATGATCGTGCCCGTAGGACGCCGTTTAAGCCCAGTTTCGATCAATTCACCTATTTGGGCTAGTCCTGTTGGAATTTCTCTTGTGCCAATGTGTTTCTCAGGCCGTGACTATCCTCTGGACAAAGAATGATCGTGCCCGTAGGACGCCGTTTAAGCCCAGTTTCGATCAATTCACCTATTTGCGCTAGTCCTATTGGAATTTCTCTTGTGCCAATGTGTTTCTCAGGCCGTGACTATCCTCTGGACAAAGAATGATCGTGCCCGTAGGACGCCGTTTAAGCCCAGTTTCGATCAATTCACCCATTTGCGCTAGTCCTATTGGAATGTCTCTTGTGCCAATGTGTTTCTCAGGCCGTGACTATTCTCTGGACAAAGAATCATTGTGCCCGTAGGACGCCGTTTAAGCCCAGTTTCGATCAATTCACCTATTTGCGCTAGTCCTATTGGAATTTCTCTTGTGCCAATGTGTTTCTCAGGCCGTGACTATCCTCTGGACAAAGAATGATCGTGCCCGTAGGACGCCGTTTAAGCCCAGTTTCGATCAATTCACCTATTTGCGCTAGTCCTATTGGAATTTCTCTTGTGCCAATGTGTTTCTCAGGCCGTGACTATCCTCTGGACAAAGAATGATCGTGCCCGTAGGACGCCGTTTAAGCCCAGTTTCGATCAATTCACCTATTTGCGCTAGTCCTATTGGAATTTCTCTTGTGCCAATGTGTTTCTCAGGCCGTGACTATCCTCTGGACAAAGAATGATCGTGCCCGTAGGACGCCGTTTAAGCCCAGTTTCGATCAATTCACCTATTTGCGCTAGTCCTATTGGAATTTCTCTTGTGCCAATGTGTTTCTCAGGCCGTGACTATCCTCTGGACAAAGAATGATCGTGCCCGTAGGACGCCGTTTAAGCCCAGTTTCGATCAATTCACCTATTTGCGCTAGTCCTATTGGAATTTCTCTTGTGCCAATGTGTTTCTCAGGCCGTGACTATCCTCTGGACAAAGAATGATCGTGCCCGTATAACGCCGTTTAAGCCCAGTTTCGATCAATTCACCTATTTGCGCTAGTCCTATTGGAATTTCTCTTGTGCCAATGTGTTTCTTAGGCCGTGACTATCCTCTGGACAAAGAATGATCGTGCCCGTAGGACGCCGTTTAAGCCCAGTTTCGATCAATTCACCTATTTGCGCTAGTCCTATTGGAATTTCTCTTGTGCCAATGTGTTTCTCAGGCCGTGACTATCCTCTGGACAAAGAATGATCGTGCCCGTGGGACGCCGTTTAAGCCCAGTTTCGACCACTTCACCTGTTTGCGCTAGTCCCATTGGAATTTCTCTTGTGCCAATGTGTTTCTCAGGCCGTGACTATCCTCTGGACAAAGAATGATCGTGCCCGTAGGACGCCGTTTAAGCCCAGTTTCGATCAATTCACCTATTTGCGCTAGTCCTATTGGAATTTCTCTTGTGCCAATGTGTTTCTCAGGCCGTGACTATCCTCTGGACAAAGAATGATCGTGCCCGTAGGACGCCGTTTAAGCCCAGTTTCGATCAATTCACCTATTTGCGCTAGTCCTATTGGAATTTCTCTTGTGCCAATGTGTTTCTCAGGCCGTGACTATCCTCTGGACAAAGAATGATCGTGCCCGTAGGACGCGGTTTAAGCCCAGTTTCGATCAATTCACCTATTTGCGCTAGTCCTATAGGAATTTCTCTTGTGCCAATGTGTTTCTCAGGCCGTGACTATCTTCTGGACAAAGAATGATCCTGCCCGTAGGACGCCGTTTAAGCACAGTTTCGAACAATTCACCTATTTGCGCTAGTCCTATTGGAATTTCTCTTGTGCCAATGTGTTTCTCAGGCCGTGACTATCCTCTGGACAAAGAATGATCGTGCCCGTAGGACGCCGTTTAAGCCCAGTTTCGATCAATTCACCTATTTGCGCTAGTCCTATTGGAATTTCTCTTGTGCCAATGTGTTTCTCAGGCCGTGACTATCCTCTGGACAAAGAATGATCGTGCCCGTAGGACGCCGTTTAAGCCCAGTTTCGATCAATTCACCTATTTGCGCTAGTCCTATTGGAATTTCTCTTGTGCCAATGTGTTTCTCAGGCCGTGACTATCCTCTGGACAAAGAATGATCGTGCCCGTAGGACGCCGTTTAAGCCCAGTTTCGATCAATTCACCTATTTGCGCTAGTCCTATTGGAATTTCTCTTGTGCCAATGTGTTTCTCAGGCCGTGACTATCCTCTGGACAAAGAATGATCGTGCCCGTGGGACGCCGTTTAAGCCCAGTTTCGATCACTTCACCTGTTTGCGCTAGTCCCATTGGAATTTCTCTTGTGCCAATGTGTTTCTCAGGCCGTGACTATCCTCTGGACAAAGATTGATCGTGCCCGTAGGACGCCGTTTAAGCCCAGTTTCGATCAATTCACCTATTTGCGCTAGTCCTATTGGAATTTCTCTTGTGCCAATGTGTTTCTCAGGCCGTGACTATCCTCTGGACAAAGAATGATCGTGCCCGTAGGACGCCGTTTAAGCCCAGTTTCGATCAATTCACCTATTTGCGCTAGTCCTGTTGGAATTTCTCTTGTGCCAATGTGTTTCTCAGGCCGTGACTATCCTCTGGACAAAGAATGATCGTGCCCGTAGGACGCCGTTTAAGCCCAGTTTCGATCAATTCACCTATTTGCGCTAGTCCTATTGGAATTTCTCTTGTGCCAATGTGTTTCTCAGGCCGTGACTATCTTCTGGACAAAGAATGATCGTGCCCGTAGGACGCCGTTTAAGCACAGTTTCGAACAATTCACCTATTTGCGCTAGTCCCATTGGAATTTCTCTTGTGCCAATGTGTTTCTCAGGCCGTGACTATCCTCTGGACAAAGAATGATCGTGCCCGTAGGACGCCGTTTAAGCCCAGTTTCGATCAATTCACCTATTTGCGCTAGTCCTATTGGAATTTCTCTTGTGCCAATGTGTTTCTCAGGCCGTGACTATCCTCTGGACAAAGAATGATCGTGCCCGTAGGACGCCGTTTAAGCCCAGTTTCGATCAATTCACCTATTTGCGCTAGTCCTATTGGAATTTCTCTTGTGCCAATGTGTTTCTCAGGCCGTGACTATCGTCTGGACAAAGAATGATCGTGCCCGTAGGACGCCGTTTAAGCCCAGTTTCGATCAATTCACCTATTTGCGCTAGTCCTATTGGAATTTCTCTTGTGCCAATGTGTTTCTCAGGCCGTGACTATCCTCTGGACAAAGAATGATCGTGCCCGTAGGACGCCGTTTAAGCCCAGTTTCGATCAATTCACCTATTTGCGCTAGTCTTATTGGAATTTCTCTTGTGCCAATGTGTTTCTCAGGCCGTGACTATCTTCTGGACAAAGAATGATCGTGCCCGTGGGAAGCCGTTTAAGCCCAGTTTCGATCAATTCACCCATTTGCGCTAGTCCTATTAGAATTTCTCTTGTGCCAATGTGTTTCTCATGCCGTGACTATCTTCTGGACAAAGAGCCATCGTGCCCGTAGGACGCCGTTTGATCCCAGTTTCGATCACTTCACCTATTTGCGCT